TATTTGAGATACAAAGACGTAAACGCTCATTTTGTAAAATTTTCTTTCCTAAAAACTTTAACAATGCATTTATTAAACGCTATAATTTATATTCATTTAATTCAAAATTTCTTATCTTTAATGTACCTTGATTCATGCATTTTTTTTGAAAAATGGTTTTATTTTCAAATTATATTTATGTATTAAGTATTTACTACTACTAGTTTTATGACAAAATTTTAATATTCCATTTATGTTAGAATATATCACTTGTTTGAATTTCAAAATTTGTTAATATCCGAACTCCATAATAGTGTAACAAATACATTGCAACAAAGACAGTGTAACAATACACTGTAACAAAAATAGTGTTCAGTAGTTTTGTGTATGTGATAACAAATTCAAAACGAAGATGAATTATTTTGAAAGAAATTATATGAAAATATATGTTTGACAAAATATAATAGTACAATATTTTGTGTAAATGACTTGTTACACTGTTCGGATATTAATATAATTTGAAAATAAAATCACTTTAAAAAAAAAACTTATGAATCAAGGTAAATTAAATATAATTTGAAAACAAAATCACTTTCAAAAAAAAAAAAAATACGCAATGAATCAAATGAGGACATACAAATATGGAATATTAAAGTTCTCTCATAAAACTATAATATGTTTAATGTACTACTTTCTAAAGAAAATACACATGGATTAATGGAGGACACAAATATTACAAAAAAATCAATAAAATTCAAATAATGTACTTAGATACAAATAAGTATCAAAATTAAGGACTTAATTATCCAACATTTTTTTTGTATATTTTTTTACAATTAAGTCTAATTTGGTGTATCCCTTCCAATTTCCCCAAAAAACAATCGAGCACCGTGCCAAAAACTCTAGCAAAAAGAAAATTGCCCAACATATGTCTGGAAAAGGGAACACAAAAATTATAACCTTCCCTCGCCCCCACCAACCAGCCTTCCCTCAAGGTTCATAGAAGACCCCTTTTGAAAAGAAAGCGGTAATGTGCGAGACAAAGACCGATCTTCGTAAGTTCCATCCAACGTGGTGATTGGCGAAACCATAGTGGTAAGTGACTTTAGCCTTTGTTAACAGCCTTGGAGGCAATTCTAAGGACCTGACAGTCTTGGATGGTGGAGATGCATGGAGATAAAAGAGAGAAAGACGCAGAGGAAGAGAAAGAGGGAAAAGAGAGATCCATACGAAACAGGGAAGAAAGACATAATATTAAATGCAACGGCGATACCATGTATCACCAATAAATAATAAAATACTAAAGTGGTCGAGGCGAATCCCAATTTAATAGTTATTTACTTACATAGAGAATGGAGGAGTGATTATTTGTTTACATGGAGGATTGATTATTAATTTTAGTGGGATCTATTTGTTTATTTGTTTTAACTTTATTGGTTAGTAATATCACCTCAGTATTATCACGAGGAATCACCGATAGAAACAAAAAAGAGGTAACTAGTGATTGTGATCTCATTTGAGGGTACTTTTGTTATTAAATAATTTGTATAAAATCAATTTGAACTTAATGACTGATTTGTTTTGAGGGGACTGATTTATTCTGAGTGCCTAGACTTCCAGAACATATATATATATATATATATATATATATATATATATATATATATATATATATATATATATATATAATTTGAATTGACTCTTTGATAAAAATCTTCTAAAAAATAGTACAAAGTGGGGTGTGTTACTACACTGTTCTTTCTCAGCCAGTATTATACATTATGTGAATGAACAAAATTTACTCATAGAACTCTCACAATTTATTACTTGATGTTAGAAATTAACCTATGAAAATTTCTTAAAAAAAAAGAAAAGGAAAGCCTGAGGATGGAATGCAAGCCAACAAAAAGTTAATTTTGAAAATTGAACATGCAACAAATACGCCATTCTTTCCCTAACTGTGAAGAATGACAAAACAAAAGCTAACAAATATTGATTTCAAATTTCTAGCTACAGAGGGCTAGATCTAAGGAGAACGTCAAAGCGAAGAAAATATGTAAAATCAATCGACGAGAAAGTACAAAATACGTAGAAAAAATATTTTTCAAAAACTTGTTAGAAGCTGATTAGAGCTTTTCTCATGCAACTTGTGTCACTTGAAGGGCTAGAGCTTCGAACGAGATTATGAATTTTTGAATGAATCTATCGTACTTGTTTGGAAGCAGGGCGCACGAAAGAGAAAAAAAAAATTTCTTTTAAATGATGTCTTCAAGTGCACATGATAATCATGTGTTTTTAATTTTTTTTCCCAAAATTGTACTATTACTATTTTCTGAAATTTTGATTTTTTTGTTTCCAATTTTTGAAAAACTGGACACAAAATTCTATTATTCAAACAACTTTTCTAGACGCAAAACTAAACCGACTCTCCCGAATGATAATCATGTGTTTTCAAAAATTATGACAGAATTAGGCTTTTCAATAATTTTGCTTAAATCAGTCTTCGTTCCCTTTCATCCAACCCAAAGTTTATCCTAAAAAATTCCCAATTTTTTTTTGTGCCGCCCAAACCCGTCACCACACAGTAGGCGGTAGGTACACTTCTATCTTCTCTCTCCCTCTCTTTCCCCCTTTTCTCCCCTAATCTTCAGCCCCTCCCATTTCTCTCCTTCCTCTTTTCTCTTTCTCGTCAATTGCCCTCCTCCTTCTCTCTCTGGTGTCCAACTCCGGCGACTGTCTCGACTATAAGGTTGGTATCTCTCTATGTATTTCTTTATTTTCACTGCAACAGAACCACCTGCAGCATCTCTTTTCTGTAGCACAACACAAACACACACACTCCACATTACATACACACGCACACACAACACACAGAGCACAAACTTAGCACACACGCAGCACCCATTTGCACATCACACGCAACACGAGCACATCATACACACACTGTTTATGCAAGGATTAAATGTAATATAATGTAACACACACGGTTGGGTTCATAACACTGTGTGTATGATGTGCTCGTGTTGCGTGTGATGTGCAAATGGGAGCTGCGTGTGTGCTAAGTTTGTGCTCTCATCATATGTTTCTGAAATTGAAATCATATGATGAGAGTTTCTGGAGTTTTTTTGTTAAGCTAAATTATAATGAGTTTTAATCATTGATCGATATCTCATTATTGAACTCTAAAATTTGGGGCCTTTTTAATATGTAGGGCTTAAAGCCCGTTCTTTTTTGAATATACTGTTGAACCGGCCGTGTCCTCCTCTCCCCCATCACCACCGTACACGAAGTATTTGTGGTATTGCTTCAATTTAATGCTTTCCATTCGGCTTTGTTGGTTTATCAATTTTCAGGTTGAATTGTTCATATGAGTTCTTCTTTTAATTGATTTTTGATTCCATTTACTTGATCCATTTGGTAACTGGGAAAATTGGGTGAAAAAATAGGATTTGTGTTCTTTACATGCTTCAGATGTTCTGTGGTCAATGTCTATTGGTTTAAGCTTGGTCTACTATTTAAGTGCATTTTTTAGCAAGGAACTTAAAATGCTTGATCTACTATTTTTTTGGCAAATTTAGTAGAATTATGTGGGCTAATTTATTGAGGAATCAGTGTGTAGGGATTGTGATTTTTCTGGGTAGTCTTGAGTTGGGTGATTTGATTTAGTTCATGTTTTGTTTTGTTTTGTTTGGCTTTGTTTTTAGTTGGAAGAAAGTACAATTCTAGATGCAAATCCATTGGTTGGGGGATGTTTGTTATAGATTTGTTTTTTATGATAGAATTGTATATTTATTTTCATGTGAATCTGTATGTATAGCTGTTTTACGTCTTGGGAAATGTTCTACGTTTCTAACATCACCCAAGATGCCAGATTATGGATTAAACTAATACTGGGAATTTATTTCCATTGCAGTAAACCTTGCAGGATTATGGCAGAACTTGTAAAGAGCTAAAAGAAACACAACGAGAAAGAAAATGTTTTCCTGTCTGAAAGTTTATTAGCCATAAAGCCACCACGACAAATTTTATTAGTCATAAAGTCATGGATTGCATATTTTGAGTAGCTATAGTAATCCTTATTGAAGAAATTTAAAGATTTTATATTATTTACATGATTTTGATATAGATATGAGGATAAGGATTTGTGGATTAATATATTTTTTGAAGAACATGTTTTTTGTTTTGTTTGCTAGTGTTGATCCGAATCAATAGTTTGCAAATACATAGTGAACTCTAAAAAGTAGTGTAGTTGCTTAGAGTAGTAAGTGCAAGTTGTGGCAAAAAATATTAGTTGGGATTGCGAAGTAATTTGTGGATATTATATTATTTGGGATTATCTTTTTTGTTTGACTATTTGGGTTTGTTGTGGTAAGAGAGATACTTTGGATTATGGAATATGGTTTTGTCAACTTTTTTATTTATTGACTGGAATGCCTGGAATGGTTTTGAGTCGATGTTAATTATGTCAAATGGATTGAAAATAGTTAAACAAGTCGTGTTAAAGTGGTTCGTAATGGGTTTTGTTATGATTGAAGGGTTTTCAACACAAACCCAACACGGTCGATTGCTACCCTACTTCAGGCATTATGGGGAGTTTTTCAACTATATATTTGTGTTGTATAGTGCCTTTAGGCACCGGTTCATCACTAGTCTATCTAATATTACAATTAGAAAGTTGAATTTTTAACTTATAAATGCACAACAATGATCAAGATTGATTCAACTTTCATCTACTTTGATCTAATGGTTCAAAATTCATCCTAATTTTTTTTCCGCTCAAAAACATCACTTGCTCTACACAACTTTCAATGTCACGCATCTCAATCAATACACTTTCCTCAACCCTATTAATCAACACATATTTCTCTATTCTCTCTCCCCTATGTCTCTTATTTTTTCTATATTCACTTTAATTTTAAATTATGTAATTATATAAAAAAATAAAAATAAATTACTATTTATGTTGTATGATCAATGCTCGATTTTTAGTATTGTAGAGTGTCTTTAGATGGAGAGTTATTGCTAGTTGTAAAACAAATGACACCGATAATAGAGTCTGTCAGTAATTTGAAATAAATTATTGGATATTAGACTTAACAGGAAAGAGTAGAACTTCTTTGGATATCTTACCAATGAAAGAGTGAAAGGAGAGAAGAAATCGTAAATTATCTTTGAACCCCACTGTATGGCTCCTCTTTTTCTGTTCTGCGCTTCTGCCTCTGTTCCTAGGTTCAATGCACAACCAGTGCTTGAATGCAACTATCCAAGCTACAAACGAGGTTGGTTTCCATCTCTAACCTCTCATTTTTTGATTTTCTAACTTCTCTCACTGTGAAGTATGAAATGAAGTTACTTTATGGGGGTTCTACTGAAAACTTGTTAGGTTTGAGATTTTCGTACTTGTTTGCCTAGCCGATATACTGTTTAATAGTGGGTGTTGCATAATATACTGCGATAGTATGTAAATACAGGTATAGTGTTTTTATACATGGGCTACATGTTGTATTGATTATTGTGAGTTTTTGTACTAATATGTGTTCTTTTATACAATGCTGGGGTTTTAAGTTTGCTTACTTATAATGTTACAATTCTATTCTCTAGGTCAATGTTTTATGCAATATCTCCGCCTAAACCTTGCGTATCTTATCCGAGAAGCACTTGTTTTCGTCGAGCTCATTTAGCTCCAACATGGATTCGTGTATCGGCTAAGTTGGCCAGTCCCAATGGGGTTGAAGTGGAGTACACTCCATGGCTAATTGTTGGATTGGGAAACCCAGGAAACAAGTATCATGGAACTAGGCATAACGTAATGTAAAATTTTATGATTACTTGATTCGAAAGAATGGTTGTTTTTAATTTCTTTGTCTTTCATTGCTGTATATGTGTTTATGTTATCTTCAACGTTTGCAAATTTTGTTTGGTAGGTTGGTTTTGAAATGATTGATCGCATTTCTCAAGAAGAAGGTATCCTGATGAATACAATACAATCAAAGGCATTGATTGGAATAGGTGGTTATTAGTTATTTTTATGCCGTCATCTTTACTCAATTGTAACAATTCATTAATTTTTTGGTCACTCGTGGTGAACTTTAATTGTTATTTGATTGAAATCTGTACAGGTTCTATTGGGGAGGTACCGGTTTTGTTGGCAAAACCTCAGGCTTACATGAATTTCAGTGGAGAAGCAGTAAGCTCTCTTCAGTTACCAATGTCTAAGTAATTCTATTTGAATGGGAAAGTTTCCCCTTAGCCACCCAGATTTAGACCACACTGGAACATTGAGTAGCTTTCCACTTCATTTTCTTTCCGAATAGATTTCCTCACTTTATTTAACTGCAAAAATCCAACATGATGAGCATGGCCATCAGTTAAGAAAGATGCCAAAAAAATAAGGCCTTTCTGGGAAGCATACACAAATATGCAAAGCAAGAGATGAAGAGAATAAAATGGTGTTGTGGTGTTTTCTACATGTTGTTTTTAAATTTTTACGAGAATTGATATCAATTTAAGAAACTATGAATCTACTGCAGTATATTATTAGTGATAATTAGTTTCTATAGAAGTGCAATGTTGTGGATGGGTACCTTCAAATTCCAAATCAACACAATGGAGCCATTAGACTTTCATGGGATTGAAACATGTTCTGCATGCATTATTTGACTTGCAATGAATAGAATTCTGTATACGCGTGCTCTACATGTATTGTTTGATTTGTAATGACTTGACTTTTTTGTTTGTTATTTGGAAAAACCCAAGTCATCCATTTATGAAGCTTAAATCTATTAAATTGAGCATTGTTGGATGACTGATTACCTCTTGTGAGGAGGAATGATGTACGTAAACGGCAACAAACTCCTCCCCCCCAAACAAGGAAAAAAAAAAGAAAAAAAAAAGAGAAGTAAAGGTTAGAGCAATTGCTTATTGGCTTATAGCATCTTGGGTCCTTTTGCTCAGGGCTTGATACAATAGGATAATGTTATCATACTCTATGATAGGCATTTATATTCAGTTATTTCTATAGTTTAATGTCAATGCGCTGCTACTTTCTAAGTCGACTCATTCTGTAATTGTAGCAGCAAGTACTAAATATCATTTCTCATATTCCAGTGTTTTCTCCTATTTTATGATGAAGATATGTCCGTCCATCCCCTGGGCAAAAAAAAGTTAATGTGATTCTATTACTCATTATATCTCGAACTTTCATTCTCTTGCTGTTACTTGACAAGGTTGGACCACTTGCTGCATATTATCAAGTACCCTTGCGCCATATTTTATTGGTATGGCCTTTTCATATCATATTTGTTCCACAATTCTACTTATTTTTTAATTATATTTAGCATTTCATGTTTTTGAATTTCTCTGTATAGGTTTACGATGAGATGAGTTTACCAAATGGTGTTTTGAGGCTTCAGCCAAGAGGAGGGCATGGCCTTCACAATGGGTACTGTTCTTTGATAATGCTCATACTAAGACTTGCAAAAGTTAGCATCCATATGATTGATAGAGGATTAAGTTATATTAGTTTGGTTGCGCAGATCAGTATTCTGTGTAGATTGAAATTGTTCTATGAGCTTTTGTGCAAGGATCAAAATTTTGTTTCGAAACGGTCAAATAGTTTGAAACTTTTCCATTTTTGAAGACACCGAAACGAATTAGTGATGGAATCGAAATTCTAATACTTCGAGATGATTCATAATGTTTCGAGGAGTTTTGTAATGTTTCAATGTATTTACACAATTATTTCAGAATGTTTCAAGGTATTTCAAGCTACTTTGGTATATTTCGATCAATATTTTGGATAAATAATTATTAAATTATTTATTTTTTTTATTCTGTTTTCGAAACGTGTCGAAACGTTTCCATTTTCTAGGTAACTGAAACAATGCATCAAAACAAAATTTTGATCCTTGCTTCTATGTTTGCGCCTACGCAAGTCAACGTTTTTGTCTCGTTGTAGTGTAGCAAGTGTGATTTCCAGCTGTTCAACCTGGAATCTTGTAATTCGCTACCAATCTGCTAGATGAGGTGGCTGACCTAGCAATAATTTGCCTCCCAGGAGTGCACTATTATGAGGTGTGATTGGGTTTTGGGGCTAGTAACAAATTCTCGCTGAGAGGCCTAAACAGGATTGCATTCATTTTGCCTCATAAGTGGCTTGGGCTTGGGAAAAGCAGTATGAACTTGGAGTCTAGTTTGTTTCTTTGCAAGTGTAGTAACTTCATGTCTAGAATATTGGGATTGATCAGATTAACTTTCATTTGTATCAAATAACAATGCTGTGATGTACAAGACACTGATGAATTACAGAAAGAGGTTAATTTTTGTTTTAGGGCTATCTTTTTACTTCATATGACTGGAATTCTCCGTAGCATACTTCCTTATAACATTCCTCTAATTTTTCTATTGAGGTTTGATTTTGTTCTGAAAGAAGCATGATATCTTCTGCTGAACCTATATATATATGTGTGTGTATATATTAGAATGTTGCATCGAATCTCGATTAAGGAAACCAAGCCTGTCCTACTTTTTTGGTATAACTGCATGATTTGAGTTTTAAAAGCCAAGGCTGTATAAATTATCACATCTTTCCTTTGTTCAGCATCCAACAAAAAGTCATTGATTCGACTTGTTTTTTTGTTGTATCTTAGTTAGGTTGCTTCCTTATAATATCTCCGAGTCAAAACCCTAGGCTATATCTGTTATCACGTTTTCTTTCAGATCTTGGTTTTTCTTTCTTTTAATGTTTTTTTTGTCACATCTCACACTGTTTTTTGTTCTGCATTCAACTTGTAAATCCTGGATGGTGTTTAGTTTTGTTAATACGATGGGTCGTATTGTTTCTGAAATGTTAAGTCATCTCATATCCATGTGACCTCTACTGTTGCTTTTTGGGAACACTGGACATGACTAAACCCAAAGTGGCTAGCTTTCTTCTCTTAGTTCTTGGATTAGTCTGTCTACTTTTTTGTGCTTGCACACTGATACTATTGTATTCGAAAGATCATATTAATTGTTGATCTCTTCTTGCAGAGTGAAGAGTGTGATGGAACATTTGGATGGTCTTCGTGAATTTCCGCGGTGTTGCATCGGTTTGTTTCTGAATACCAGGACTTGCTCCAAATAATATGTTAGTTTTAAAGGCTTGAACTCAAATACTGCTTTCCTTGCAGGCATTGGAAATCCACCTGGTACAATGGACGTGAAAGCTTACCTTCTTCAGAAATTCAGTTTGGAGGAGCGAAAGCAGGTAGAGGGGTATATCTAACTTTCTCGTAGATCAATTTCAACCGTACACATGTTTGTGGGAGCAAGGAGTGCCATGAACGAGCGAATCAGAAACAAATGTAATGTATTATCATGCATCTTCTTCGGTCCTAACAAAGGCAAGGGAGGAGAACTAAATTGTGATGGCACCGAACTATGCATGGGAAGAGAACTAATAAAAGGGCGCTTCGAAAGCACTTCTTTAGCCTGTCTGAAGTAAACCAAGCTTTCACGGACTCCTGAACTGGATATCCATGATTTGGCTAGGGACATCTTGACTCTTAACTCAGCAGCCCCCTAACCAAAACTTTTGACTAATATCTGTTACAACTTATAAAAATCGTTGTTTTAGTCTATGCATTTGTAAAAAAACCTATTTTGTCGTAGTAGTTACTAATAGATGTGATCTTTCTTTTCTTTTTTCTTATATGGTGGAGATTGTCCCACATAATGACAGATCAATGATCGTGGCCATATTGAACCCTGACCTTCACAAGTGGTTCAAAAACCCACATTGTGAAAAGCTATGTTAAGTTTTTAGTAGCACTTGGTGACCTTATCTTTTATGTCACATAGCTCTTTTCTCCTGGATGGCTGGTTTGACAGGACAGTGATAAACTGGATCTAGCTGCTCTATATATATCTACAGTTAAGTTCTAAAGCCGTTAGTTTTGAAAGAGAAGAATAGAAGAAAGAGAGAAGTTTGTCAGAATAGGGTAGTGTGTTAGATTACACAACTACACCCAGTTGATATATATAAAGACACAAAGTACCAAAATACTCTTATTCTAGAAATAACACATAACGTAACATCTACAAATCCTCATTGGTTGAGTACTTCAATTAGTATTTGTTGGACTGGACATTTCTGTGTTAAAATATTGTTTTCATCATTAACATGGTTGAATATAGACTTCAATGACAAACTCCATTAAGTAGAGTGAATCTGGCTCTTCTTTTTCCTCCCTTGATTCTTCAGGCTAGCCCCAGTACTAAGTTGTTCCAGGGGGGTGGAGGCCATAAGATTTGTATTTTGCGCATCTGATCTAAATTTGTCATTATTCTTGTTGTTTGGTCGTTTGTGTTTATCTGTTACCCCTCTCTGTCTCCAACACACGTGTGTGTTTTAAAGTCTGATGAGCATGCTTAGATTTCTAACTGTTATGACCTATCTAAGCAGATAGATGCGGCATTGGAACAGGGAGTTGAGGTTCTCAGGACCCTGGTACTCGCAGGTTTCGGTGGTAGAATCACTAGATTTAATCTGGGCCAGAAGTACAAGTACCACAAAGTTTGAGCAACCTCACCAAACAAAACCAAAGGTATGGTCGAAAGGCATCTATACCGTGTTTGAATCGATTTTGGATGTTCCTGCAATTTCCTTGTACAGTATTTTTGGGCCAACTGTTGAGGCTGATGTATCCTTAAAAGACTTTAGCCCTGTTTTTTAACAACCTTGGTGCCTCTTAACCTAACCTTCAGTTTTGGGTCTTTAAAATTTGTTACTAGAGTGTAAGAGAAGTGAGTTAGTGAGCTGTTTGTAATTGTACATTTGATGGTACTTCACCCTAAACTGATATTGAAAACTGAGAAATGCATGTTTATATTAGCAATGAGTCCAAATTTTGGAGCTTGGCACCGATGGATTGCAACTTTTTAGTATCTGAAGTCAAAACTTCCCCTCATGAGATGTTTCTGTGTCTTCTAATCTTTTTAGCCAACTCAAACACTAGCAGAAGATCGATGGGGGTGGGCTTTATATTCTAACTGATGCTTAACATTCAGGTTCAGGGTCAGCAAGCAAAATTTCATCTGAAGCGGGACGGCCTGAAGAGGGAAAGCTCAAGTTCAGCACTGAGCAATTTTTCTTGACAATTTCAAGTTGTGTATCTCACTAAAAAGAGCAGTGTTATTGCTACACAGCATCCCATTTCCTGCCACCGGTGGTGGGTAGGAAATTGCAGATCTCAGTTTGTACAACTAACTTGGGATGATGCGACTGTATTTTATCATCTGTATTGTTGGTGATACGATTCTAATTGTGTGGCTCAAGTTTAGACATCGTGATTTCATGTATAATTTTCATCGCACAAGTTTGTAATTTGGTTATGCAAGCGACATCTTTTCAGATTTGATATTGAACAAAAATACGATGTGGTCCAATAAATAGGTAGATTCAGTACAACCGTTCGATTAGATGACATTATAAATACGATTCTATTTGTACAACCGTTTTTTTTTTTTGAACTTCATTATTTGTAGTTAAAAAAAGTAATGTTGCTTAATTAATTGAAGAAAATCTCATTTTTTCTCCTGGAAGATGTAGAAATTTTCAGTTTGTCTCCTAAATAATTAATTTTTTCACATTGTCTCAGAAATTAAAACGTTGCAATGCGGTCTAAAAACGTTTTTTTATTGCAACATTTTTATTTTTTAGGGGAATAATGTATAAAAATTAATAATTTGGGAGGTAAATTGAGAATTTTGTACCTTTTAGGGAACAAAATGTGTAGCAGCTATGCCTCTGAGATGATAGAGTGATTCTGCTGTCAAGGGAAGAGGCAAATACAACCTGAAACTAATACAATACTCGTGTTTTCGCTGTTCGATGTGCAACCATAACCCTCGGAGGCTTGAATGATTCTGCTGGAGTTGAAGAGGCAAATACAGCCTGAAACTGGTACACACTACTTTATGGCGACATAAGGCTCCGGACGGAGTCAGAAATTGTAAAGCGGGGGCAAAGTCTAATTAATAATAATACTAATGGCCTGCGTGGTTTGATTGAAAAGTAAAAGGATGAAAAATGCAATTTTTCACTGTTTGGTTTAAAAGGAAAGACGGAGGAAAAGAAAAAATAGATGAAAAAACAATCCCTCCCACTCCACCAAATTTGTTCTTTCCTAAAACGGGTGGAAAATGGCCAAAAGTGCATAAAAGGGCCTGACGGGGTCCACATTTTAGTAATGGCTAATTACCATTTAGTTTTTTGGAGCTCATGTCACAAGTTAATACATTATTCATATTCTTTTTGAATATTTTTAGGATTTCATTAGTAATGATGTTCTTTTAGTTTTTTCTCGTACCAAGTAAAATAATACTCCATCCGTTCCTAAATATCTATCGTTTTACACAATTTTTTTTGTTCTATAATATCTGTCGTTTAATGAAATCAAAACATAATTAATATTTTTTATTTCAAATTTATCCTTAACTTTTCAATGCATTAGATTAGGTGGAGACTAAGTGTCTTTTATATATTTTTTCCTTCCCAATACGTATTGAATAAGGGTATTTTAGTTTTGTGTAATTATTTTTTACTCATATTAGAACTATTTAATAGCTTACTTAATCCCTGTGCAAAAACCTTAAACGACATATATTTAGGAACGAAGAGAGTAATAAAATTATTCTTTTCACCTTTTTTTTATCCTTCTTACCAAATAAAAATGATGGAAAAACTCTTTCTTTCTTTCAGGGATGAAAAATTTATTCCTTCCATTTTTTCATCTCTTCACTTTTTCATCATTCTTCACTTTTTCATCATTCTTACCAAATGGATCATAATTATTCGTAATTTGGGGACTTAATTTAAATGTCTAATGCATTAGCAAATATAGTACATTCAATGCTGAGATACACTTGTAATTCATTAATGACAATACATTGGATTCTTAAATTAAGTCCTAATAGAATTTCTCTTTTAACAATAGTAAAATTAAAAGGAATTGAACTATTTATATAACAAAATAGGAGTGTGTTTGAATTTTATACCAGATATATTTTCTCCCTCAAAATCATCACCAATCACTTACCTCACCCATCATCTCTTTGTTAGACTCAAATGTCAAACCGTATCACTTATTTCTATCATATGTTTATTTATTTATATTTTTTTTCTTTAAGAACATCACATTACTCATTTTTATCATATATTTAATCATTTAATATTTGATTGATTTGAAATTAATATATTTTTTAAAAAATTAATATAATGAGATTGATTTTTTGAACACTCGAATTTTATATTTTATCGTGCCTTCAAGCACGGATTATGACCGGTTAATAAATAAAAAAGAGTTGGTTTGATGCATGGCTTCCCACGGCTACAATGTTTGAGGAGGTCAAATGTACACAAACTTGCCGTGCATGTGACAAATGATTTCACAACTTTAATCATTGCTGATTAGATTACAATGGTATAACTTTACTTTTATGCTCTATTTGGTAGGAAGTATGAAAAATAAGAAGGATGAAAAGTAGGAGGATACACTTTCGATCTTTTAAGAATGAAAAGTAAGAAGGATACATTTTTCTTCTTTTGTGTTTGGTTGGATGGATGAAAAATAAAAATGACTATTTTTTTTTGTGCTGGCTAAGATTAGGGGAGACAATCGAGTCGAATCGTGTTGTGTCAGATTCGTGTTGAGTCATTACGGGTTTGTGTCGAATATTAATCAAACCTAATTTAACTCACTTAACTAATTGTGTTGTGTCGAGTTGCGAGTTGACCTTTTTATTTTCGTATCGAGTTTGAGTCGTGTAATCGTGTTGAGTCGAAAATTTTCACCCTTAATTAAAATAGAAAAAATATTTTTTTTTAATTTAAAATTTTTATTTTTTTTAATTTGTAATTTTTATTAAATGTATTTTTAAATTTTTTTAAAATATACATTTTTTACCATTGTATTTTTATATGAAATTAATGTATACATAAGATATATAGACAAATAAGATATATCTCAACACGAATAATTAATTTTCCATCCACTTTCCTTCCGATTTTGGAGGGATTGATTTGGGTGAGTTGGAAGGAAAGTTAATCTATCCAATTTTTCATCTTTCCTACTTTCTTTTCTTACAAAACATGATGTTTTATATATCCTTTCAACTTTTCATCCTTCCGATTTTTCATTCTCTTACTTTTTCATCGTATCAAACAGAACATTATAATTATTTCCACCTAATTTTTACATTTAAAAATAGTACATCATAGTCTCATTAGTCAATATAATCAACTTAACAATGATGAGAGAGATAATACAAGATATAGGGAGAGCGAAATTAAAGATGAATAACAATCTCATTCAGCAAAATCTTGAATATATGACCCCATCAATTTCAGCACTAGCCTTAAATGCCTTCAATCTCTAAATCAGTCAATTTTTTTGAGGAATGTTTAATTTCTCTTGGTGTTAGCTCATCTAAAATCAACCATCGAAATGTGTCAACCTTCCAATCTCCTCAATAACCTCAAGGATAAGCATTTCAACGTTCACTCAAAACGACAAACTTGGCCACACCTTACGTCCCTAGAAGAAGATGACATTTGTTTGACGAGAAATAAAGAGGAATATCAAAAATTCGAATGCCTCAAGCAGAAGAAAGAAAAAAAAAACAACGATTAGATCTAAAATAGGATTCCTTCTTTCTCTCATTCAAACTTGTGCAAGGAAGAGAATGACCCTTGAGATCAAGATTTAGAAGAAGAACATTTTTGTGAATAGAGAACATAATAATCAAATTATCTTGAAGGTTCTCCTAAAAGAGTGACCTCAGGGTCGCTAGCTTTATACAATTCTGTGAATTTTTGATAAGTTTTGGGACGGTGACGACTACGGGCATCATGCTCCTAAGTTTATAATGTCCAGCAAAGACGGGGTAATTTATGCAAGAGGTCAAAGCCACTAAGAAGGTCTTTTCCTGGAAGGGAAGGGCCGAGGACTCGGTGTTTGACGGTAAGGTTAAGGAAAAGACAAATCAGAATTGGTTTGTTAATTCTATTAATGACAGACCTTTCCCTATGCCCTCGAAAAATCTGATAGAAGGGTTTCTAGTTTGAACTAGGAAGAAGAGAAGGGTTGATGACAGAAACAACAACCCCAGTGTCAAAGAAATCAATGACAAAAACAGGTGGATAATAGTAGCTAAGAAGAATTTGAACACAAGCCAAAGGATAAGACTGATTCATCAAGATGGGCTCATCAAGGGGTTCGACCACAAAAAGATCTTCACCAGAAGAGATTTCACTATTAGAATAGGCAAGGGCCAAGATTGCTCCTAGAGAAGGATCATCATCAAGAGAAAAAATAGATTCAATGTCATAATCGTCAATGATAGGGTCTATGGAAAACAATTGATGAATAAACTTTTCTTTTTTTCTTCTGCCGGGGGCAAATTTTGGCAAAACAGAGGGAA